CGTGTTTGAGGCGTTCTTGAATTTTTCCAACGAAATATGAAAGACAGAAAATTACGCATAACGGAAAAAAATATTCGTAAGCTGGGAAATTTGACGGAAGACTGAAAAAGAATGAAGGGCTTTATGGCAAGATGAGGACGAATTACTGAAACACGAGGAGTGAATAGCTATATGTAACAGGTGTTTTTGTGACGTTTCGGACGCAGTCGTCTCTTTGACTTCGTGCAAACAACGGTATCGTGACGTTCTCATAATTGGGTCTGGTTATATGCATTTAAATTGCTTTTAATACTTATCGGGAACCAGGGTCTTCTTCAAGCTGTTTTTCCGGAGTTCCAATTTTTGGGAATTGTCTTTCCAGGTGAAAATTATATAATGATGGTTGAGGATGAGTGACAAACTTATATCGTCTACCTAAAACAAAATGATGCTGAACCAAAACTAACATCTTCAGGTCTTTGAATCGTCTCAAGTTATTTTTCTATCACATTGGGCTGAATCATCACGAATTATTCGGTGTCTTGTGATACATTTTTAATGAAAAAAATTATTGAAAATTCGTGGAGGCTCTTGACAACTTCATCACCGCGACTAATTTTTTTTTCCGCGAGGCTTGAAAAAATAACCCCTGATTTATTTCTGGTTCGCAATTGACGGACTGGTGACGCTTTGTTTCTGCGACGAATGCACTTTCCAACACGCTTCACCAATTATTATGACAGTTTTATTTGTTATTTACGAGACTAATCGTTGTGCTGGTCATGTTTGACCAAAAGGAACCCGAGGATTTCATGCAAGGAGTTGCCTGGGATCGACTTGCGGGCATGGAAAGAACCCGGACCAGCGCCGGGAACTACTTGCAACATTGCCGGCAGTATTGTCCAAATTGGCCAGTCTCACTTGCCATCACCTTGTGTGCAGTGCACTTGTACAACTGAGGGAGTGAGTATTGAAAAAAAAAATTCCTATAATTTCTGGTAATTTGTGAAGCCCACATTTTTTAGATTTTTTTTTTAAAGTCGCAAGGTGGGAATTCTAATGGGTTGATAAGATGCTGAACTTGGAGGCAAGGGTTCAATGAGTCCTTCACTTTCTCTCGAAAACCACCGAATCACATTTTTTATTGATTTTCTCTCTCCTGTGTCAAGAAAATAATACCCAAAAGGCCTCCGGAAAATTTTAATGATTGAGGTTTGAGAAGGTAAGCCTTTGCCATAGGGAAGTTTTTGATTCATCGTTTCTGAGGAAATTCAAACATGGTCTCGAAAACAATTTATACTTGAAGAGGTTTGGCTTACCCAGGTTCAACTGTAATTTGAAGTGAATCAATATTTTTTCAATCAGCATGAAATGCCATGTTTCAATTAGCGTGAAATGCCAAATGCCAGTTAGGATACTTGAAAAAAATCAAATTATGTTGGCTCGAGTTATTGAGGCTCAACTGAATAACTCCAAGTTGACATTAACTAGCTAACTACACTGCTTAGTTTACCAAAGATGTCTCGTTGACGTTAAGTGACTCCTAGTGGTTAACGCTCGTTAACTAGCGCTGCGTCGGCGCGCTGCGGCAGGTCAACGACAGAGTGTGCCGGGCCCAATGCGGGCATTTGCTCGGCGACTTGAATCGACAGGCGCGGCTCGTCAGCAACGCTGTCACGCCGCCACTGGCGCCCGTCGACAACAGCATTGGGCGCCCGTTGCCGCCGTTTGACGGCTCCACCGGACGCCGCAACCAACGGCGGCCCAACGGGAACAACAACAACGATTTCCGTCCCTTCCGCAACCGTCTGAATCCGCTAGCGGCATTATTTCGAGGTTGAACAAAACCAGGAGAAAAAAGGGTTTTGAGAATCCCTATATATCCCCCCCACTCCCCTTCGATGTGACGAAAAGAAAAAAAATAAACACCAAGCACCGTTGAAAAAAACAAACAAAAGGTACGAACTTGCAGCTAGCCCCGTTAGACGTCGTAAGGCAGGAAAAACGCGATTTTTACTTTCGTTCGACGCTTTAGCTAAGCTCTTTGCCCCGTCAGTCCAAATTTTTCACTGTTAACATGTTTATTTGATTCAAATTCCAAGCTGTTTAGTTATTCTGGTAGTAACGAAGAAGCGTTTTCTGCGTCATTTCCTTTCTTCCAAATTTTTTTTTGCTCCCACGGCACGTGATTCTGCTGCTGACGTAGAAGCTAAAAGAGAAACGAAAGTCGGCAACCAGTTTATCAACCATTTCTTTCCATATAGTGATGATCTTGCAGAATTTTTGGCGAGGTCCTTGCGACAGGGCATCCCTAAAATTTGACCTTCTGCATGGTTGGATGAATTTTGATGCTGGAGTGGGGCCTGACTTATTTTCTTTCTTCATCCTCAGCTGCAGACCTATTAGTGGGTGGAAAATTAAAATATGGAAGAAAATGAACGATGCGGACAATTTTTCTCAGGTATCTTATCATTTAAATTGCTGAAAATTTGATTCTAAAAAATTCGTGGGAAATGTCGATGAATTGGGACTGCGGAAGTCAGAAAAACTCCACCACTCTCGTATTTCCGCGTTTGTGACGGTCAATTTTGACGGTCTTGAAAAGCTAACGGGAACTATTTTACGACAAGGAGCCAGAAGGCACATAGCCCTTACTCTCCAAAACTTCCTACTCCACCTTCTAGCTTACACTCCTTTCGGGCTTTGTATGAGGCTGGTGCTTTTTTTTGTACACATTTTTTTTGGCGACTTGAATCGAGACAAAGAAACGAAAAGAACAAAAGGAGATTGCTTACGCCCTTACGAGCTCTTCGCGAGGCTGCTTCGAGATGGACTTCAGTGTTCACTTCCTGCATAATGCCAGTTTATCGTTATTATTATTTTTTTTTACGTCAGTCGTCTTCCTTTTTGTCATTTATTTCTCCTAAAAAAAAGAAACAATGTAATTCATTCTGAACGTTCATTATCTTTCGGAGAGAGCAATATATAGATTTATATGCTCCGCATCTCCGTTTCTCGTTCTTGAAACATTCGAGCGATGTGGGATGAAAAACAAAAATCGAGAGAAGCATTATGAGACATTCGTTTCGGAATTTTCGGTGTGATTTTAAGCGTTGCCAACAAAATTTTTATTTTAAACGAATGTTCCAAAAGGTTGTGTTGTTTCTCTTTCGTCTCTCGACGCGTGATTGTGCGTCTTTTTTTTTAAAGCAAGTGAAGAGTTTTTTTTTTTATTTAGGCAGGGGCGCCAGAGTGTTTTTGTTTTTGGCTGGCCTTTTGATTGTATTCGTGTGAGTGTGTGATTGGCATTGCGAAATTTCCAGGCCAAAATTGCTTCCTTGAAGAAAAGAAAAATGAAAGAGAATATTTCTTAAGGTTTTTTTTTCGTAGATATCTATCCTAACACCGAGACTGAAAGAGCAAATGCGAGGCTCATGGTATTTATTTTCTCCAAAATTCGGTTTATAGTTTCGGCTGCCGAAAAAAGTCTGTCGTCGGTTTCAAAATTTTTTTTATTTTTATTTTGTTCCCGTGTTGTGCGCGTGACGAGCATATCAGAAACGCGGAAGAGAGGTTTTTAATTTTATTGTACGCGTCGAAATTCCTGATGACGACACTGCCGTAGCCGGATAAGCGGAAGTGATGTTTTCAATTCGGGAAAAACGAGTTTGAGTTAGCGAAATGTGAAAGAAATAGTGTGGTCTGTTCGGGAACTGCCATTTTGCCCGTCCTTTTTTTTTTTGTCCGCCAATTTGTCACAATTTTTTGTCTGCGAGAGGGAGAAATGGAACGTTCTTGTACTAAGAAACGCTTTTGCAAAATAATGTGGTCTGTTCGGGAACTGCCATTTTGCCCGTCCTTTTTTTTTTTGTCCGCCAATTTGTCACAATTTTTTGTCTGCGAGAGGGAGAAATGGAACGTTCTTGTACTAAGAAACGCTTTTGCAAAATATTTTTTCTTTTTGTGACGTTATCGGGATAATGACAAATTTAGGCTGTCAGTTAGAGACCGAGATAATTTAAGACATGGAAAATTTAGGGACAGCGAAGTATAGGAGACAGGGAAATTTTGAGACAAGGTTGGACTTACACAACTCACGGTTGAGGGTGCATTTCCACGTACAGTATTACTGAGGTTTTCGTTGGCACCACCAAGGTACAGTATGTTAATTTCTCATAAAGACAAGCAGAAAGACTGATTGAATTAATAAAGGAACCTGCCTGGGTTGGTTCTGTAATAAGAGCTGTTCTCTATAAAAGTGGGAAACTCAGCTTACGCGATGATGATTCACAAAAAAAAAGATTCAGTCTGTTAAGCATTAAAAAAATCTGCTAAAGCAATAATGCTGAAGTTCATGGATCCAGAAGGGTCTGATGAAGAGGATTTCTAATGATTTAAATTATTTAAATTACTTCTGTCGCAAATTTTTAACGAGAAAATGGTACTGAAAAGTGATCTCCAAATGTTTCAGACTCAAATTGAACCTGGCTTTAAATTCTTCACTCAAGAATAAAATTGTTTCAAATTTCCCTGCCTTGAACTGTCTTTGTCACACTTTTTGTGATTGTCTTGAAATGTCCGAGATCAAATGACATCAAGCTCTCATGGTACAAATCTTGTAATTCTGTTTCCACCGATTCAGATTGCCTTGGTGCTGATACTGAAACTCCGTACACTTGATAATTCTTCGAGCTGACAAATTCTACATCGGGATTTTATACGAATATTCGCTTCACTTCAGCCATCGAAAACGCTGAGTTGAAGACTTGAAGATCCCTGTACTTTGTATGACACACTATTCGCATGCCCGTAAAGCACGAAATTTCAAAAAATAGGTGCCAAAATGTCCGGTTGAATTGCGTATCTGTGCTTCTCAAACGTAGCAGAGACCATTTTCAGCCAAGTTTGTCCCCCTAACTTATCATCAGACGTTATGCAAATGATGACGTGCAGTATTGGGGATTTTTTTAAAAACATTTTTCTTATAAATATGCTCAATCAAATAAATGAAGTAACGCAAATTCTAAAACGAAAGCGCCTTCGTTTCTGAAGCTGATGCATTTTTCTCATCTCAAATTAAATTCGAGTACAAATGAAGAGAAGAAAAGTTCCGTCGAACGGTTATTTGACTGAATCGATTCAGTCGTGAGTTTTCTTGGCTCCTTCCTTCGAAAGCCGAGTGGCTTCAGAATACCCCGATGGCTCGTTTGTGTCAGCAGCCATGGACTGGAAAATTCAAATCCCATTATACCTATGTACGGAAAACTGAATCTATGAAATTCTGCGAACTTACGTAATTTATTTCGATGGTCGAAACTTTGTCCAAGAGCTTGAGTTCTTCCTTGTTCTTGACATCGACACCCGCAGCAGTTTTCCAGTCCTTCTTCTTCCAGTTTGGTCTCCACTTGTCCACACAGTTGAGCGTAAATTCCGAATCAACGTGAATAACTGCTTTCTTGATACCTTCCAAACAAGTATTGCAAAAGTAATTTTAGGTTTCCGTAGAGTTTGGAGGAACTATAATTATCTACTCTGAAGCAAATCTCTTTTATCCGAAAAAAAATGAATTAGTTTGAGCGATTCGTACGTGAGTGAGTGAGTCGCGTTAGAATTATTCCATTTTTATTCTATTTAATTTTCGGAAAAGATTCCTGTTTGCGTTTCTTCAACTTCAAAAATAAAAAATAAATGTTACGAAGAGCAGGTTTCAAGTAAATTTTTGCGGAGGGAAATGCGCTTACAAGTCTACCATATTAGATTTAAAAAAAAACAGGACAGAAGTCTATAAATTCGACCGTCTTCATATTGTTATTTATAGTGTTTCAGTATTTATTCATTGCTGTACCGTTTACCTCGTGTTCTGTATTTTTGCAGTGTTAATTTTGTCTCTTGGAATACTTAATTCAAAAATAAACAAATAAAAAGTTCGGCACTTTTGAGATTAGTTCATTCATTTTTTAAATTTGTTTTTACCCGCAGCCTTGAGGAACTCGACTGCGTAGGCGACTGACAGGATCTTGGATCGGTTGTTCGTGTGCGGTTTGTCATCCTTCACAGGCTCGGCGATGTTGCTGAAAACGATAATCAGCAAGCCATCAACAACAGCTGATGGAGCAGAGATTGCACAAAATTCGTATCTGGATCAGACACGTTGAAATGAAAGAAAATTGGCGGTTTTTACGCATTACGTGGTTGCGAACAAGCCATGTTTCACAGTGGATACAGAAATAAAGTCTCGTTTTTCCCATTCGGATTCGAAAGGATGTCACGTAAAAAAAAAGCCACGTGTCAAATTTAAAGTGCTCGAATTTCTAAAGCAATGAAAAGTCAGCTTCATGAGCTCATTTCTGAATAAATAGTGCCGATTTCTTTCGTTTATATCTAGCAAGGACACGGCTTATATAGAGAATACAAGTATATTACGCATTGAAAAACCGCCCAATAAAGTTAAAAAAAAGAGGTTCGTTTAACTCTAAACCTGGTTTTGGATACATGCTGATCTGGGTAAAGTTGTTGAAAATTTGCAAGGTCACACTATTAAATTGTATGATTCGGAGTGAGTCATTTTCTTTTATTTTCCTTGCG